TGTGATAGGAACGTCGGCTGCATTCATTCGTAGAACCTTCGTTTTATCCGTGTGAATATGGAGTCCAACACTACGGGAGAAGGTCCTGAGGCGATGTGTTTCCTGTTGCTCGACTGTGAGAAAGAAGTGCCAAGTCGTCGGCAAAGTCCATGTCTTCCAACTGACTATAAAGGGTCCACTGTATGCCACCGCGTTGTCCCGATGTTGTCAGTCTCATTATCCAATCCACTGCTTATAAAAAGAGAAAAGGCGATAGCAGGCATCCCTGTCTCACTCCTGTATTCACTTCAAACGAGTTTGTCCGCTGCCCTCCAAGTAAGACACCGCAACTCATTCCTTCCTACATCTTCTTGATCAATCTCACGAACTTGTCAAGTATTCCGTGGTGGCGCGTGAGCTTCCATATTGAGTCCCTATCTCGGCTGTCAAAAGTTTTCTCGTAGTCAACAAAGTTAACATACAGGGAAGAGTTCCACTCTGTGGAGTGCTCCACTATTATCCTCAAAGTTGCAATCTGATCTGTATATGATCTCTTTTTACGAAATCCTGCCTGCTCCTCTCTTGGTTTTGCATCCACGGTTTCCTACTGTTGAACATAGGTAACAATGAATTTTCAGCAGCTGGTGAGGTAAGCGTGTGATCCCTCATAACCCATAAACCCGGCCCACAACTCCTACACAAGATCGTAAGTGAAGTGACCAGTCTGTAACAAAGTACATGTAACAATACGGACGTCAACATGAACTTGTGACAGAAGCGTCGCTCGTTCTCCGAGTGGTGGCGACCCATGTGTTTGTTTGACATACATGTAGCAGTCGGTCTTCCTCGTCTGACATATTTCGTTCCATTGTTAAATGTGACACCCAAATTTTTCAGTATTACAAGTAGCCTATCTATTGACTGTACTTTAATGCCAATCTTCATGGCGTAATCCTGTCTCTTCATATCTTTTTTCTCACCAACGTGCATGGCATGACATTTTAAAGCATTAAAATTAAATTTATTAATTGATTAAAGATATAAATTCCATGTATGATTATATAACCTAGGTCTGACAAATCCTACAGTTTTAGTACTGTAGGCTACGTCTTGTTGTA